AAGGGTCTAGGCCCGAAACGTCAGCCTTTCTGCTCCTATGATGCTGCTTGGCCTGCTGTGTTCATCCAGCTCTGCACCTTGTTGTCTCTGTTAATGATTGGCTAGCCTGCTCTTGGTGTCATAAATGATATTGGTACTCCTTTTAGTCAACTAGTTATACATCATCACGTCTTTGTTAAAATCATTCAAATAATAATGTCAGTCGTGTTAAGCAGAAAGTAATAAAATAATATTGTAGTCTCATCATTTTAGAAATCTGTTGTTTAGAAAAACTAGTTGTCCAAACATTGTTTTGAGTAGACTCATCTGTTCCTTTACGATTGACATTATTTTAGTACAGTATAATGGGAATGGAAACATGAAAGATTCTGTATTACTGTTTTGTAATGTTTTATCATTGTTTTGAGTTCCAAACAAATATATGTATAATATATACACAAACATTTTGCTTTTAGTTGGTTATTCTAACATCATTCTATAATCTAGAAAATTCTGAAATCCAGAAATGACCTAATCCTAAGAATTATGGATTGGTGAAGCTTCAGTGTATCATAACAGTAATTCAGCAGCTAAAATATCAATTTAGTATTTTGAGGCAAAGCATCTTGGGAAACAGTCATTGTGAAAATTGACATCCATCATAAACAACAGATTGCCAGAAATAAAAACAGAAGGTGGTGGAGAAACTCAGCAGGCCTGGCAGCATCTATCAAGAGAAAGGAGTGTTAACATGACTAGAGTCAGACTGGACTTGAAATGTTAACTCTCTTTCTCTCTCTCTCTCCACAGATACTGCTAGATATGAATTTTGCCAGCACTTGTTTGAATTTCAGATTTTCAGCATCTGCAATATTTTGCTTTTAAGAGTTTGCCAGAATGTGTACAGCCTAAATCTTGTGTTCTAACAAACCTGATGTCATGAGGGTGTATCTATTTGAATAATGAATAAAGCTCTACAAAATAGGTAATCTTTATATCTCTAAGGCAGAAGGAGGGGCCATTATAAATTGACAGGGTAAACATGTATCTACCTTCTTTGACTAAAAAGGAAATTCTTTCTTCTTTCAGGATGAAGAAGGACAACATAGTTTGGAGTGTATCCAAGCCAATCAGATCTTTCCTAGAAAACAGCTAATTAGAGAAGAAGAAAACCTCCAGGTATAGAAGAAAAATGCGGATTTAATTGGAAGTACTGTAGACTTTCAGCCAGTTTTCCATTTACAAATGAGGTATTCTGATACTTTCCATGGTAAGTGATGATCTGCTTCAATAACGTCCATTTATCAGCATCAAATGTTCAAATCATGTGCTCCAAAATGACATGAAGATCAATACTTCTCCAATCCTAGACTTATCTTTGTCCGGTGCTTGATCTCCTCTTGATACTGATAATAAGCTTTGCATTTGCACAGCACCATTCATTAGGGTTAGGACCTCAAGATGTCCCTAATTAAGTGTTTTTGAATGGCAGTTGCTGTTGGAATGTGGCAACCAAATTGCAAAAGCAAGATCCCACAAACAGCAGTATTATGATGACAAGGTTTTGTGGTGCTTGTTGAGGGATGAATATTAGAGAAGACTCTACTGAGAACTACCCAGATGATTGTCAAAACATTGCAATGGGATCTTTTACACCCCAGATGGGATCTTTATTTAACTTTTCTTTTGAAAAGTGCAGCACTGTTTCAGTGCTGTACTGTAGTGTTGGCCTTGATTATGTGTTCAAGTATCAAGTGGAATTTGACCCACAACCTTCTGTGAGTGCTCCCAGTTAACCACAGCTGACAAAACAGGACCAACCGGCTGGAGTTTTTAACAGGATCTCCTCATGTAATGAGGATCTCCTCATACTAACTTCCCTTCCATGCACACATATACATACATCAAGAATGCTGCTTTTGTTACATTGAATTCCTGAAGTCTGAGTATTCATGAAATCTGTTGAAGGTTAGCATTTTATCAAGATTTTAGGATCATTGTCTCTCAGAAGTTCAAGGACGCTATACAGCAAAAGCAAGTTATTTTCACATTCCCATCTGCTCTGCACCAGTGTGCCAACCATGTATTTGATGGCTGAGCCAAGATTATGGCACTGAATTTCTAGACAAGTAGATGCAGTATTAGTTTGTAGAATTCTGTTTATTCATAGCTTATGCTGAATAATAACTGATTCCCTATTACCTCACATTGTAGGTTCCTTTTCCTGAGCTTCATGGGGAAAGTACAGAATACATAGGACGTGCTGAGGATGCAGTTATTGCTCTGTCTAACTACAGATTGCACATCAAATTTAAGGAAACAGTTGTTAACGTAAGTATTGAAAGAATTTTTAAATAATTAGATGGATTTGAATTTTTGAATCTTGTAATGAATTTGTTTTGTCTGCTAGGTAATAAGTGCAAATAATAAGCCAGTTGAGGTTTTCACAAGAATAGCTATATTCTATAAGGGTATACTTGCCTGACAGCATGCTGGAATATGGTGAATCTGTCACTTTTGTAGTGATCAAGATGCAAATGCATGCAAAGTTTTGATTGTTCTTAACTATAAGAATATGTAATCTTTTGGAGCAGTATGATACATCTTAGTCCAAGAGGAAAATGGGATGTGTTTGAAGAATTACTTTGAATTCAAACAGGCTCACAATTAAAAGCTGCATCCACTTTCAAATCTGCAGTGTATTTTCCAAAATCTTTGATCATGCCATCTACCTCTTTTTTGCTTTTTCCTTTTTACTTTATATTTTTTCCTCCTGCTCTCCTCTCTCTCCATCCCACAATTTGTTTTGTGGTCCTCTTCTGTGTACTTTTCCATGCAGGCCCTTTTTACAACTTCCTGTGTTCTTCTGTAACGCATCTCCCTGCACTTGCCACATTGACAGTCTTCATCTTCAGGCCTCCCTATAACCACCACCACACCTGTGCACTCTTCTCCCAGTTCTCTAAGCTTGTTCTCCTCCTCAGTCTGTCTTCTCACTGCACCCTTATTCTTGTGCTTTCCCTTTACTTATCCTCTGCCTTATGACTTAACCCCATGCCTCAGAGTATAACATGAGGATTTTTCCTCCTCAACCTCTTCCCCCCACCTGAGGCATGGCGTCTACCGGGTTAAACCACAACCAGTGGTCAGTCTCTCTAATGAGAAAGCAGCACTAGGACTATGGCGACTTTTCCTTTACCTTTCTATCTCTACATTGATTCTCCCTGCCCAGAATTTCAGTAATAAGAAACGACTCTGGTACATAGTAGGCATTCAGGCAAGCTGGAGGCTGCAACATCTAAGTTTTAAGTGTGCCAATTTAATCAGTGCTGTATTGTTATAGAAACAGTATTATCAAGACCTGGGTGGTTGGGTGAGCCAGGGGAGCAGCACAATTTACCAGCCCATCTGGAGCACAAAGAGAAAAGCTGTTTCCTGGAGGATATCATTAATTTTAGAAGCTCTATTGAAAAGTCAGATGATTGTGCCTGCAAGTTTTTGAAAGGTGAATGATTTTGCTTAAAAGCGATTGCCTGTGCACAGTGAGTTAATGGGAGAGACCAGTTAAGAGGTGTTCCACAGCCTGCGTAAAATTGAGAAGTAGCAGAATTTAGCCATCGGGTTGCACATTTTTGATTTACAGAATGCTATAACTATTGTATCTCAGTTGCATGTTTTTATTAATATGTGGAGAACTCGCAGAGTCGAGGATTATGACTTTTGAAGAATTTTATCTTGTCATGTAACTGGAAAAATGTTTGCATTGAAGACATAATGTATTGGATTTAATTCAAACAGAGGCTAGGCATTGGTTTTTTAAATGAAAATGCATAATGGAAGTATTTGAACTTTCTGAATTCTGCTTTAAATCTCTTTGCTCTATTGGCAATAGCTTTACTGTTTTTGTTTTGGTTTCCCGTGTAGAATATTTATCAAAATACCTGTTGTGAAATGACAGTAAGTATGAGTTTTTTTAAGTAATCCTAGCATTGATGAAAATGTTAAAGCGTAATGCTGACTGTGCATTGTGGCATTACAGATCTTTACGCATGATTGAGTTACACTGTGGTTTTAAGCTAATGGTGCACAGTGATAATAAATTTTCCTGAAGTAGTATTGTCACTTGACCTTTTTAGTGTATTGGTAGTTTTGTACTCTAAGAAATGTCAGATGCAAGCAACAAGCTTTAATGGTTTATGATACTTAGTAATTTTTAACTGATAGCTCTTTAATGGCCAGCACCATTATTTCCTCCTCCTGTAGCACAACTCTGTTTTTTGCAGAAAACGATCTGAGTTTGGGATAACAGGATCCATACTTGCACTGCTGCAAAAACAAAACATTTCAAATGGACATAGTATTAAATATTAGTGCTCATTATTGTCCTTCAACTGGAATCCGAACAACGCTCCTGAAGGATTGTAACATTTTAGCGTATCAAGATTATCACTGGTATAATACATTTAAGGCAAGATTATGCTACAAACTAATACCTGTTTCAACTTCAAAAATAATGTTTCTCTAACTAAATTGATTTGTGCCAGTAGTTATATCATTATTGAGTGGTTATAATTGAAAATGTCTTAAACTTGTGCCAAAATTATCATGCACTTCATATTTGGTAAAACAGTATGAGATGTTTCCTTACCAGCTACATTAAGCTGGAAAGCTGGACAGTCTAAATCATGCAATCAGTTGCATGTCTTTTTGTACTCCTTGTCTCAACACCTTTTGAGTAACATGTGTTCAGTAGGTCTACTTTGCTGTTGTATGGGCTTTTGATATAAGTGAGTACATATTGTTATCTGGTAGGAGAATTAAGGAGTTTTGGTATATAAACAAGCCTTTATGTTCTTAGTGATACTGTAACGCAAAGAATAAAAAGCTCTTACTCTTTTCTTCGCTATTTCATTAACTCCATACATTTTTGAAAACTCAATTTCTCTCTTTAAACTGGTAAAGCATACTGGAAAACTATAACGTGGGAATCCCAAATTGTGTGAGATCTTTTCCATGTGGCTCAAAAACTCCATTTTTGCTACAGATCTGTAACACTACAGTGATCATTGTTAACGCAGCACAATTATAAGGGACAATCCTGATCTTGTCCACACCTAGTTAATGCGTGTACTTGCCATATTAAACAAGCAATATTAAACCAAGGCCCTGCCACACACTCTGATGGAAGTAGATGATTCCATGACGCTTGTGGAGGAAGTGCAGAAGATACTTTCAGTAGTTGTGAATAACATTTATCCTTCGATCAATAATACCAGATTATTATCAGCTAGTTTGTCTTGTTGTTTGAGGAAATTTGCTGTGCAAATTAGCCACTTTTTAGTTACCCACATTACAACTGTCTACTGCCCATAAATGGGTAATTGGTTGCGGAGGGCTTTCAGATACCTTCAGTTGGTGAAAGGAGTTATACAAAAACAAATTTCTTTTAATTTTTTTTCTTGCATTGTTTTCAGAAATTTGCAGGACCTGCTGAGATCCTGGATACTGTCGGAATGATCTGTTACTGCAGTGGACAAAATTCTGCAATAGCTTTGTAGCTGTTTGCGGTTAACTATGTACATGGCCACTATATATTCCTGTGTGGTTCATTCTATCAATGTGCCTTCAAAGGGAAAAGTCTATTGGAAGAAAATGAACATACTGTTATTAGCCAAACAGCCAAGCTATATTGAGTCAGGAAGATTAATTTGCTGGTGTTTCAAATAGGTTATTGAGCAGCCAGCCTGTAACTAAAAAGAGGTCATTGTGGTATGGTAGGGCTGCTTTGCTTTTATGTTGTCTTTGGGGAGACACCAACTTGGCTAAATCCACAGAACCTACTTTTTAAGGGTGCATGATCCCTGAAAGCATCAGTCCATTTTCTTCTGTTTAACTATATACACTTGGTTACTCAGTCTGAATGATCTCGCACAGTAGGCTACAATAAGATCAAAAGATATAATGCAGATTAAGGTGAATTTACTCAATACTTGGTGTTATAGAAACTCCATTGAAAAATGATAAGATTGCAATTCTATCGTCCATAGCCAAAATGTGAATTCTCCTAAAGTAACGGTCAAAATAACAACTGTTTCTTCTTTCGAATGATAGTGATGTGTGAGACCTGCTTGAATTGGTAATTACTTCTGTAACAGTGCAGAAGTACTTCGGTTCCAGCATTTAGCGGATGCTGGGTTTGCCAGTTCTGGTTAGGATATGAACTGGTGTGCTTTAAATGGGATTGACATTCAAGATGCTCTACATTGTCTTTGAAACAGGCTTAATTGACAACTTGATACTTGGAGGTGGTTTTGTCATTAATATATGTACCAGATATTGACTAGTTCATCCATACTGCCAAATAAATCAAGAAATGCTCGCATATTAAGCGTTGCATTATGAGTAAATTCATTAAAGAACTGAGAAAGGATCATCAGAACTTGAAAGACCTTGTTTTAATTTCCAAAAGCTGCTCATTATAACGGAGCTAAGTATTCACAGCAATTGTATATGTTGATTTAACATTCTCTTTCATGTGCTTACAATATTTTTAAATATTCATTTGAGCCTGAAATAGATGGCCTTACAGTATGGTGCTTTTCTGTGTATTACGGATAACATGAATTTAAAGACAGCCTGATACTATTTTCAGAATAACATTACTGTAGATAAAACCCTTGTATTTTCAATGTTGCATCCCATTCACTAAATGTAGTTGCATTTTAGTCCACAAGAGTCACATGCTGATTAGGGAAGTCAACCTTTTAGCAAAACATATGCTGAAAAAATAAAGATGTTTGGTTGAGACAAGAGTTTGTAAATTATACACAACGTCAATGAAACTGAAATCTGGTTCTATTGTCCTTTAGACATCCCTATTTGGAAAAGCATTTTGAATCACAATGTTTAATTGTGACATCGCATTGATAATCACAAAGGAAATAGGACACTAGTGATAATGTGCCAAATGCACAAGTTCCGAGGAACGGTCACTGGACCCAAAGCATTAACTCTTAATTTTTCTCCATAGATGCTGCCAGACTTGCTGAGCTTTTCCGGCGACTTCTCTTTTTGTTCATGTATGTGTTCTTGTTTCTTCAAAATTATTTTGTCAGAGTTGTTTAGAAGTTGTGCACAAACCATGGTATGTTTGCAATTTGAATGCAAACTAAATTAACAATAGTATTACTTGGAAGGTTCCAAAGAGTGAACAATTTAATTCTTTACATATAGATTACCAGCGCAGCAGCTATATGTTTGAATTTGCATACATGATCCTTTGCCAATTATCATTTCTTTTGGCTTAGTTATATAAGTTCTGCATTG